TTTGAAGGCCTTAATGATTTCGGAATTTGATGATCTTGGGCTCGTTGGATTCGTCTCGTCGAGCCGTTCGATTCGAGTATAAGCTTGTCAAAATCGGAGACCGTTTGGTAACTCAAATTGCAGTTTGAACCTCCTAACAGCGCTTCGAACCTTTGATTCGGACTCATTTGGGCTCGGATTGGGTTGATCTTGGTGTCGTTGGGTTTGTATTTCTGAGACGCTCAGTTCGACAGTAAGCTTGCTGAAATCGGAGTTCATATGCTCCCGAAATTAATTTTTGAAATTTCTAACTAGTTTTTGCCTCGAGATTCGTGCCCAATCAAGATTCGTGCCCGATCAAGATAATTTTGTGATGACGTATCAGGACTAATGGTTTTTTTTTTTAACCACCAAATATATTAAAGAATGAAAGTTACAAAAGAAGACCCCACAAAGGCCACATCAAAAGCTTATAGGAAAAACAACAATACCAAAGAAAAGACCAGAATGATTAGGGGTGATATCAACGGACTCAGACCAACTTCGGGTAGTCAAGGCAGGGTCATCCACTGGTAAAACACAAAATCGAAGGCCCAACCAGGTTGCCAACCAACCCTAGCCATCCACGACACTTGCAGCCTCGCTGCTTCCTCATCGTCTAATAAAAAACAATTAGCACGGCCAACCCACCAACCACAAATGCAAACCAACGGTAGAACATCAACAAGATCCACAACCAAAAACCACTTAAAAGCAATTAAAACAAAACCATCGCATCAACCAACAATCATCATCGACGCCTACCCCTCCCACAAGATCTACCACGAGAAGCAGGATGTACCAGTGGTTTATCGCGCAGCAAATTGAAAGAATTACCAGGATCTCCATCATCAATAGATTCCACAGAATCAGAAATAGACTCAGATTCAGACCTGTAATCGTGAAGCCAGTCCAGGTGGACTCTAAGATCAATGCCCGAGTTATCCTTCACATTATACATTAATCCTTTAGGATCCATAAAAGTCACTAGGACATCCACAAAATCATTATGCACTAAGCGTTCGTTATGAATGAGACTAGACTTACCAGAGAGCCACCTTACACACTTCCTCATCCAAATTTTCCACGACAGCAGACTTAACCAGGCCAATGGGACTAGAGTTCTTAGAATTTAAAGACTGTCCAACCAAAACAGATCACATATACTAAAGGAACCTCATGAGGGAGGCCCTTAACACTATGACAAACACGATTGGAAGTCAATTTCATACCAACAGGAGTAAATGATTAAGCGTCGGGGGATAGAATTGCGGCAAACTCAACACCATTAGCATCATCAACCACCTCAGTTTCCACAACAATTTCCACAGCTTCTCAACCGACCAAAACAGGGAAATCACAAACCGGCTCGGGGCTCACCACCTGATTAGAGCAGAAAGGAGAAATAGTAGCACAAACAATACCACCTAAATTATCAATGTCATTATTCACAGCCAAATTGCTACTATCTGAACTCAACAATACAGGAACTACAAGAGGTACAACAGCAGGTAAGTTAAATTCCAAAGAAACAGGAGCAACCTCAACCACGGGCGGCACAACCACACGAGGCTGAAGGGAAGGGCACTCAACTTTTGAGTGACCCAGAGACTTGCAATGAGAGCAATAAGCAGGAAAGGGATCCATAACCACCGATTGGATGTAGCCTAAGCTCTCAGAACCTAATCAGATTTTGTCAGGGTACACCTTGGTAACATCCAATTCCACCAACACTTGGGCAATCGAAGGACACCGACCAGAAGAGGTAGCCTGATCAACTTTTAATGGTTTGCCAAACATGGAGCCAAGACCAAATAAAATTCTTGGTGCAAAGAGATGTGGCTGTAGGTTAGGGAAGGAAACCCAGACAGGGATAGAAGGGGATTCAACATCAATGTCAAATGTATGGGACCATTTGAAAATCTTCATAAAACAGTTATTCACGAAATAAGAGCGAAGGGCAAAAACGCGACAGTAATCCAAGTCGTTTTCCAACTTAATCAGAATATGCTTAGAGTTAAGAACAGTGACAGAGAAAACACCATTAAGCTTGAGATTAAAAAAAAAATTCGAATAGCTTCCAAAGACGGACGATGAGCCGAAAATTTACCGACCAGCGCAAACTCAAAAGAGGAAGCAAGGGAAAGCACTTCCTCATCTGAAATCCACAGTGAAGGAAGTCTCCGGAAAGACGTAACCTTTAGGTCAGGGAAAGAGGAATTCGAAACAGAGGATCCCGCTAGGGCATCACGGAAAGACCGAGAAGAAGACGAACCAGATAAAAAACCAGGATCCAATAGCCTTTTACCCTCCATAACTAACAAAAACACTGAGCAAATAAAGAAGAAGAAGAAGAAATCTTCCCTGAAACGATCGGGGAGCCTCGCAGCGAAGGAAGAAACGGCGCCAAACTTCTAACCCTAGTAAAGCGAAGAAGCATAGTGAGAGTACGTGAAATTCCTTTAGTAAATGGCCTAATGGTGATCTTCAATAAGACCCATTATAACATTTTAAGAATATCATTGCTACTACCATGAAGCTTTCTCATCTCTCTCTAAGGTTCCATTTGAGATAATTTTTTTAGTATTTCTTTGAAGTAATTCTATAGTACAAAAATTTTTAATTTAAGAAATTTTTATACTATAGAATTGATTTTAAAAGCAATAAAAAACTGTTCCAAATGAAATCTAAATCTAAATCAAGTATTTAAAAACAACCATAGAAAAGGCCATGAAAGTTGAAAAAGAAGAAGACAAAAAAAAGCTTCAAAATTTCATTTCCTGCTCTTATGATGGGCAACAACAAAATTCTTTCAATAAACATATCTAGGCGGAGCTTATTTATTAAAGATTTTACAATTTCTTTCCACCTAAATATGTAACCATTAAATATAGCTTTCTAGTGATCGGAGACAATGACTTCGTTTGGGATAATTTTTTACTATTTTATAAAGTTACTTTTAAGTACAAAATTTCTTGGAAGTAAAAAAAAAAAATAATGATATAAAACTATCCCAAATTAAGGCTATAAAGATAAAGTACAGTCAAGTAGAAAAAATCGTGCTAACAGAATGCCAAAAATTTTTTTTTTTCTAAAATTTAGGGGAAAATGGTAATCTGATAGTGAATTTTGTAATATATTTTACAAAGAACAAAATATTAGTTGATACGAACTACTCTACATACAAAAAACACCCATTATTTTTAATTCTCCAACATCGTTGTCTTCCTTTTACCTCAATTGATTCAACTATTTGCAGCCAATTTTAGGGGCAAAATCAAAGGGAGGCAAACTTATAAGTAATTATTAATGTTGCCTAAAATTTGGCTAATAAGCTCCGCAAATATATTTGGGATCCAAGAGGGTAGCCCTCTCTAACGGAGTTCAACCTTCAGGATATTTTTGAAATTAAAATTAATAAATAAAATGATGAATTCTATTTTCTATTTACTAGAGTCATTGCCTAAAGACCATAGTATTTGAAGCTTTTAGGGGGCGGGGTGAGAATTGCTTATAAATCATTGTAATAACAAAAAAAAAAAAAATGATGAGGAGATAAATTACCTTAAAAATAATATAACTTTTTTTTTTTTGGAGGGAGGGGAGGGTCAATTGCCCCCACCTAAAATGACAAATTATTGCGTCCGGTCACCGGATGTCCGGACATCCAATCCGATGATGCCACATCACCCAAATACATTGAGTCCCGCTGCACTTTGGGGACGTAGAAGGCAAAATTCCTGCTGGATTGATGTCCGGACGAATTCGGACACAATAATTTGCCACCGAAAAGGGGTTCCACCCCTGGCCAACTCGTAGTACTGATAAGACAAAACCCACCGACACTAAACTTTCAAGGCCACGTCTTAATCAATAAGAGCTATCACCGACTGGCTCTTCCATTGGCTTAGAAGGCAAAATTCATCCAATTTTAGTCGTATAAGCTTTGAATGCTTCACTATTAGAAAGGTGAGGGTAACTTTGACTAAATATTCCTTCTTTCTTTGTGTTCTAAAGAGAAGTACCTCTCACTCTGCCGGTCTAAAATATCCAAACGCCGAAAGCATTTCGGATTGTGAATCGTTCCTTTATTTAGTTTCACGTTTTTTAAATGTGGCATAAAATAATGATCAGAATATAACTTTACTAAAAGTTGAAGAGAGCTTCATTCCTTCATTTTTTTTTTCCTGAAATGTAACATGAAGGGGCTGTTTGGTATTAGGATTTAGGCCGTATTTGAACGAAATCCAGCCAATTGGACTAAATTGCAAAACCAAATATCACAGCAAATGAAAGCCGTCATAAACAGAAAATTTCATCTTTTCGTGCTAAATCCCGGATTTTCAAAATTCTGTTTTTAGCCGAATTAACAAAATCCATTGGCTCAAGAGGAAAAGTCTGCTTATTAAATCTGTTCTATAGCCAAACAATCACACGGGATTTAATAGGATTTATTATAAATGTTACCAAACAATTTTCAGGATTTAGGCCCCTTAGGATTTCCGAAATCCGGATTTATAAAATCCTACTTAAATCGAATCCTGTGTGGTACTAAACAAGAATCAACATAAAACTTTCAGCTAGAAGTTGTGAAGAGAACAACCTGATCAAAATAAGTACATCTCAAAAGCTCCACACGATAAATCTGATACTGCAACCTTAACTTCCAACCAAGTAAAAAAGATAAATGTTATGTTTTTCTGAACTTCACACGGTAAATATGACGAGATCCGAGGACGAGAGAACTTCATTTAAAAAAAAAAAAAATCAAAATGAACCACTAGCTTTGTATATTTGGATTACAAAATATATAAAAAAGCACGAACAAGCTGAAGCATTTTCCAGTTAAAAAGGGATTTCAAACCGTTAGAAGCCTACCTTCAATAGATTCCACTGCGTTACAAAAAGCTGACCAAACGCAGGATTAGGCTTGAACATTAGCTTTGTTTCCTGCAAGAATGAGAGAGATCTCCAGGCCTCTGCTGAAAGCCTGGTTGAAAAGGAGGCGGGACTGGAACGTGGAAATAAAAGGGAACCATGAGAGGAAAGCCAAAGGAGCAAAAATCAACATTCCCATCCCAGCATCATACATTCGAGCAACCTCTCGCACAGAGTCCCACAAGCCCAAGCTCCTCACCAGCCCTTTCCACGTGATTGCAATCTGTGAAAGTGATTATAAAAGTTCAAATCGCAAAGAAATAACATAATGGATAGCTTAGTTGGTTTGTTGGTTTATGTTGATCTGCTCTTCATAATACATTTTCCTCGGACAAATATCTGAAAGAAAAGATCTGACAAAAGCATTTCAAAAATTGAATAACAACAACAACAACATCAAGCCTTTGTCACACTACGTGGGATCAGCTACATGAATCCTTTTTCGCCATTGTGTCATGTTAAAAGTCATATTCTCATTTAAATCTAATAGAAAAGATCATTTTCTACTGTTTTCTAACAAGTTTTTTTAGGTCTACCTCTACCTTTTTTATTAACATAAATCAGATCTAATACCTCAGCTTTTCTAACTGGGTCATCGGAGAAATGAATAACAGAAAAACTAAAAATCAAAAGTTTTAGCACACCCTACTGCTATATTGAGATTTCTATTCGTATATTATCGACACAGTTAATCAGTATTTAAGACATCAAAGCAACAATATTGACTAATAAGAAAACCTATTTTATGATTTACTTACAGGCTAACAAGATGATTAATAAAATTGTTTAATAACAGAGTTTAATATAAAGATTCAGAAATTATAGAGCTGAAGATAGAGAAACTTACGCATAAGATAGCCCAACCGGTCGGCACAAATGCCAGTATACTGGCAAATAGGTCGGTGACAGATAAGTCTGTGAATGCTACGAATAAGGCGATTGCTACAATAATTCCAATTGACGTTACACCTTGTATAAAACGCAACAGAAGCTGGAGATTGGAAGATTTTCTTGGACTGAAGGTAAAAATCTGCAATGCCATGAAAATTAACGAAGCAAGCAAGAAGAAAACATAAAATATAATTTATCCTAGAACAAAATAGTAAATAAAGATTATAATGTTATTATTACCTTGAAAATCATGATAAAGACAAACAGCACAACCCAGGAATAGCCATATATCTGGAGGCACAAATCAAACATTAGTTTCAAATTAAGGCTTTGTTTGGGACGGCTTTCTTATTGCTTCTTAAAGCAGCTTTTTAGTAAAAAAATTTAATTTTTATATTAAAAATTGCTTTAAGAAGCAGCAAAAAAGCCGTCCCAAACGAAGCCTAAGTTGGAGAAATTTGAGATAGACATTGGTGATAATGGAAGTCAAAATACATGCAATTTTGCAGGAAAAAGTAACGCGCATTCAGAGAGGTACAAGAATTACATAAATTGAACACAGGAAAGGTAAAGCATAGTGAAAAATGTTACTTACTGCAAGCGAAGTATCATTTCCCGTGAGATTTAACTTGTACACAATTCCATACTGAAATATGGCAAACCTAATGCTCAGAATTGTCTCCAGGATACGACCTCTCATTGTTTGTATATGCATCTGCCAACCCAAACACATGGAAGAAGAGGAATATACTCATTTTCAGCATTAAAAATACATTATGAAGCTGAACGATTTTCTATGCTTCAAATTACCAATTAGTTCAAGCCTATGGACAATACAAAGCGTGTAACCCTAATATAATCTAAACTGCAGAGTGCAATATAATGGTTTGCTAGCACTAGAATTTTCAATTTAAAACAAAATTAAGTGCAGGGAGTGATAGTATCGTAAGGTAAGTTTGCATTGAGATGATTTGTACTCTAACAACATTTTATACAAAAAAAGTGTTTTATTTAGCGGAATCACTTTATAGACATAATTTGCTATGAAAAAAACTTGAATCAACCAAACTAGATTCCTATGACATATCCGTTTTCTTTCCATTTTAATATCTAAGCTCAATGAACATAGATAAAGTGCTTGCTTCAAAAATTATATTTGTACAGAAAACACCACTGAGAAAAAAGATAAATTTTTTTTACAAAAGATAAAGCTCAATAACCATATTAATTAAACAAAGCTTAGGAAAAAATGGTTAAATTTCTTGAAAACTATTGGAGAAAGTTTATAGGTCAAGAGATAATGATACCGCTTCACATGGTACAGCAGTACATCATTCTTGATACCCGCCTACTAATGTACATCCTTATTTAACATGTCCACATTTATACATTCCAAAACAGTAAGTTTCTGACGGTCTATAGGAGTATCAACAAAGTTGCATCCAAGCAAAACCGGTCTCCTTAAGAAGAACTAGAATATATTTCCTTTGAGAAACAACAATGCCCTTTATTGATTGAGCTACTTCCATTCCAAGGAAATATTAAGATTTCCGATATTTAACTTCAAATGCTTATGACAAATTTTTCTTCAAATTCTAAAATTCATACACATCATTCCAAGATAAAATAATATCATCGACATAGGCTATTAATATAGTAATTTTTCCAGCATGAGATTTCTTGACAAACAGAATATGATCAATTTGACATTGCATGTAACCTAGCTTCAAAACAGCCATTGTGAATCTGTCAAACAAAGCTCAGGGAGATTGTTTAGGGCCATACAAGGACTTCTTGTGTTTGCAAACATAATTCTTTGCCATACCCTTTTCAAAACTAAGTGGGATTTTCATGTAGATTTCCTCTTCAAAGTTACCATTTAGAAAGACATTTTGTTATGTCTAGTTGTTGCAAGTACCAATCTTGGTTGATAGCCAATGAGAGAAGAATTCTAATAGTGTTAAGCTTTGCGACATGTGCAAAAGTTTCTTGATAGTCTATCACATAGGATTAAGTAAATCCTTTAGCTACCAACCGAGCTTTGGATCTCTCAACTGATCCATGTGCTTTGTACCTTATAGTGAAAATCCACTTGCACCTCACATGCCATTTCATAGCTGGCAAATCAATAATAATTCATATTCCATTCTTCTCAAATGCATCAATCTCATATTGTATTGCCTTCTTCCACTCTAAATTTTGCAATGCCTATTGTACCGTGCTAGGAACCTGAATATCATCAAAAGTAGTAAATGCTTTATAAGATGGTGATAGCCCTTCATAAGTAGCATAGTTCCCTATTAAATGACCTGTACATCTCCTAACACCCTTCCTAAATGAAATCGGCATGGTAAAGTCATCAATGTGTGAATTGGCACATCTCTAGCCTTATCCGTACCTATGTTTTATTCAGGTGAACTTGAGCTTGAGTCGATATCTTGACCACATGCTGGCTGTAATATGTGCTCTAGCACTTATTTTTTTCTCCTCCTGATGTAGACTTGAAAATTCTCATTAACAATTGTGAAACCATAGATGGAGCAAGCACGGGAGAAGAAACATTTGTGGGATAGCTTGATGACTAAATAGACACTGGTGTAGACAAGTCTTGCGTATAGTCTTTTGGGCACCAATATGGGTTGAGAAGAACTTGGTGACTCTGAATAGGATACAGACTCAAGACAAAGACAACTCCCAAACTTGATGTTCATTCATGCTTTCCCCTTGAACATGAGATTTGGGATAGGACACATGTTCAAAGAAAGAGACATCCATGGTTTTGTAAAATTTATTGTTGGTTGGAGAATAATATTTGTACCCTTTTTGAGTTGGAGAGTACCCTAGAAAAACACTTATTGGCTCTAGGATCAAATTTACTACGAAGTTGAGAATACACATGAACAAATGTTGCAATCAAATACCTTGAGAGGTAAATTAGATGAAGTTGCATGGGTGGGAGGAAAATTGACAGAAGAAGCTGACCTGGAGATTGAAAATTAAGAACTCTGGATGGCATACAATTGATCAAATCGACAGTTGTGAGAATGGCTTCTCTTTAAAATAATTTGGAACGTTAGAGGAAAACATAAGATATCAGGCAAACTACAAGAGATGCCTATTCTTACATTCAACCACCCCATTTTGTTGAGGGGTGTCAACATAAGAACTTATGTAGATAATCCCATGGTTATGACGATAGTTATTGAGATTACTAGTGAAATATTCCCTAGCATTGTCGGACTTGAGTACTTGAATTATAGAGTTGAACTAAAGACGCGGGTTAATCATTCCTAACAAAATCATTCTTTAAAAGTACCTATCACAATGTATCATCATTATTATCAATTAGCATTATCCCACTACGTAGGATCTACTATGCTGAAATTTATTTTAAAAGCCAAAAGCAAGTAAAAAAACAACTTTAGATGCATCAGAAAATGCAAAAGCATTTAGCCTTAATACTGTACATGCCTGCTCCTCATCCCACCAAGATTCCCAGCTGTGTTCCCCTTTCACACCAACTCCACCTTTATAAAGAAGCCAGCTAGTCCAATCATCAAAATCCTCAACAGTCCTGGTAAATCCACGAAAGTAATAGTTAAACCACAGATCAAATTATGTTTGAGATAAGATTAGTAACAATAAACAGGCAATGAAGCCAATGATCAATTGAGGAGCCGGATGAAAGAACTTCAAAATAACATGTTGAGTCATACTTCTGCCACTCAAAGCCAGAGGGATTAAAGAGATATGGGGCAAAGAGCCATGAAATAACAAGGAACCAGCTACTGATAGTGAGGATTATGAATGAAGATGCACCGTTCTCTGTGTAACCATATGCTATGTAAACAATGAGAAGTAGAGCAACCTCAAGCCTGCAAGGTATAAATTTGATGTTATCAAGGACAAGCCACAAGTTAGCAAGAAAGCAAAATAGCATGAATGAATCAATTTCAAAAGTACTGACGCCTTGACAAAATGGCTTCTTGAGTAAAGCCTATAATTCTCAGCAAATTTGATATGGCGGACAACAAAACCTCTTCCAGTTGCTCTATACTGTAAAGAAGTGAATTAATTAACCAACAGTTTAAGCAGGCCATATTAATAGATCAACTAAACTATAGTCACATACTTTGGCACCTCCATGAAGAATTGTTCGGCCAAAATAATGTGTTTTGGTTCCAAGCGAAAATGTAAAGAAAACTGCACACAACTGCAGTTGCATGATAACAAAACTAAACAAAGCCTGCAGAAAACCAAATTCCGCAAGTCAAATAGCTTGAGGGGGTAGAAACACAATCAAGTCTGACACCATCTAGCTTTTAGCAAGAAAAATCAAAGAAAGAAATCTGTTCACCAAAAATTGTCACAAGTTGCTCATATTCCCTCTTTTGTGTTACAAAATGTATATTAAAACAATATTTGCAATAGGTCCTAAGCAAGGCTGCGCTAGATCGTTTGCAACTAGGTAAATATCAAAATAGTCAATATCATTTTCTAGGTAAATCATCAGAATTAGAGATACTACAATCTGAACCAAATGTCCCCACAGGAAAAGGAGAAAGCATCATTATAACCAGCACAGTGCTCATAGCTCTTCATGTTCATGAAGCCACCATCTCCGGAATTCCAGTTACGAGTTGCATTTGGAGTGATTCAAGCCCAAACAAGTCCAAAAAATTTCAAACCTCTTAGATTTCAACTAAACCTTTCACAAAATAATATTCTCTTTCATCAACAATCCTCCTTTCAATCCAAGTTTTACAGATCTATATAACAATGATATGGTTTGCATTAACTTCTTTCTCTCCAAAATAGCTTCATATGAAAACTCGATCTATGAAACTGTGGGCTCCAAAAATTCACACCCCTACCTCTCCGCGAAACCCCTCTTTTTTTTCTTCGGGTCATCGATGAGAGTTTTAACGCTTAAGTTTTGAGGCCAATATTCAGAAGCCAGATTGGATTTAGAATAAGACATTACCCAGAGATTTCACCCTCATTAGGCGAGGACTTGATATGAGTTTTGGTTTTCCTAGAGGCGCAAGCCCCTATAGTTAATTACACCCCTCCCCCTCCCCACGATTATGAGAGAGAACTTTCGATTAATGCTAGTCGTCAAACAGATACAGAGTATTTGGCGTATAGTAGCGGCATGATTTAGGTATTTGAGAATTTAATATTTAAAATTAGAAATTTCACCACCTTGTACTTAAAGCACATGGTGGGGGAATGATGATAAGCCCGATCAAGATCCCATGGTTCCGTCATCATGGGCCATCATGGTCCCTGGTCTACTTAGTTAGAGCCTCATAAGAGATAGTCAACCCAACCTGACATAAACCGTGTCATTTAGTGGCGAACCATCGGTGAGGTGCCATTTGACGGCGAAACCACCAATTAGATGACACATTCCATGTCATTACTGACAATAAATGTATTGAGAATCAATCTTAGTGATATTCTCGACCAAACATTAACTTTTTATAAGCTGAAGTAATTTTCAAATTTATATACCTTGACAAACTGTTGCCGAAGGTGGATGGATTTTGCTTTAAGTGTGATGATTTATTTCAATTTTAAATATTTCAAATCTTGGTGATTTTTTATTTTTATTTTTATGGGCATTTGAGAGATTATAAATGTTTGTGATCCCCTCCAATTGAGATATTCTATCAACACGGCCATCATCGGAGTTTTCATGGGCAATTTTATTGTGGTTGATTGAACCTTGTCAACTCTGTCAATTTACTGACAGAGGATCAGATTTGAATTTCAATTCATTTCTTAACCCGCACAACATCCTCAAACGTCACATGTATATCTACGACACGCTCGCCAGGGCCCACGCCGATATATGCTGTTGAGTACATTTTCCGCGATGCATTTAGATGATTGTTACATGTATGTAGTGGATGTATACGACATCTGCATGTATCATGTATATTGGACTATGCATTTTGCATTTGCACACTATATAGTTGAAGTGTGCGACATTACTTGGAATGAAATTCTCTACATCTTGCAAATACATGCAAAAGAACGCTTGACTGCGTATGTACGACGTATCTGCATATAAATGCAATATTGAATGACATGCTTGAATAGAACCCTTTGCATCCTACAAATGAATGCATTAGGTCACTTTAAATATAAAATTGTAATGTTAAATGACTTGCTGAAATGAAACCCTCTACATCCTACAAATCCATGCATATTATAAAATAAATATCAATACATATTTTAATGCATGTGAGAGGGGTGTTTTCGCATTTTTAAATGTAGACGACTGTATAGGTGGCTATTATTGCCAAATGTGCAAGGCTTTATTTTAAGCTTTGTTAACATCTTATGTTTGCTTGTACGAGTGTTGCGAATCTGGTGGGGTTTTGCATTAACATAACACACAATACATTTGTGAAACATCAATACATAATGTATCTATACGTCGTCGATTTGCCTGTATAACAAATTTGCATGATAATTCAGTGCTTATATGTAGTGCATAATGTATTTGCATGCTCACATGGCACGCTTCTTCGGCGCAATACATTTCACATGCTAAATTGCGTGTCTGCGTAATGCATTTTGTATGCTGCAATGTGTATGTGCGCAATACATCCTTCATACTAAATGACACATTTTTTATGATGCATTCCGCATGTTGCGACTGTATGCATGTGCAACATGTTGGCATGTAAATGTGATACACTGTTATAACATAACACATCTTGCGATGTCGAATGACATGTTAGCATAAATTATTACGCCTATTGTAATGCATGTACGAGGGCATTTTAAAATATTTGGCAATAAGTAACCATAAAAATGATTATCATTTGAGAGTTCACAGCATTTTACTTAGAAGCTTATAGACATCTTCTATCTGCTTGTACGAGTGTTGCAGATCCGATGGCGTGACGTTGCGCTAGGCTTTATTTATCGTGTATCAATGATGCGATTTAACTCATTTCATCCACTGCATGTCGTTACTTTCATCGACGTTCAGATTGCAGGAGTACACCTCCGCTCGCAAATACATTGTATAATGCACCAGAGGTCTCCCACTAATGGTTTGTAACCTTTATCATAGATGTTTTGTTGTAGTTTGCAGTAGTATTTTCATACAACATTTGTAGATCATTGGCAACAATAGCATTAAGGCATAATGTATGAAGAATAACAGTTTTTGCCTTTAGAACTTCCATTGCAAGGTCCTTCAGGTTATATTTACAGGAAGGTTTGATGAAGCCACTGAAGTGGAGAGTTAGTATGTTGGAAAGCTTTGGAAACTTTTGTATGCCTCAAATCTTTCCGCTTTCTGGGCCATTAAAGTAACCATGGATATCATGAGTGATTTAATAATTCTCTTCATGAATAAGGTGTTCAGCTTTCCAAGCATGCTTTGATCCAGCCCACATTTAGAACCCACCTCTCGTTCAGAACAACCATATGGTGTTTTATTATTCTGATGTAGGTTCCATCCTTGTCTTCTCGCCCTCTTATCTTTAGAGAGATCAACTCCACAAATCAATTTGAATTTCAAATAGTTACTATATTTATATGCCTTATTTTAGGAAACCTTTTTGAATTAATTCTTATTTGAATTTTAAATCAAGAGAGGATCAAATATTTCTTTCCTATCTTGACTTATTAATTAAGTAAGTATTAATGGACCCATTAACTTCCCCCCAGCACATATATGCTGTCGGCCCCTCCTCAAATAAATCATAGAATTTTATTGCCAAATCCATATTCCCCACTTAGGAAGTACTCAATATCCCCTCATCTAAATTGGCCGAAATTTCCTCTGGTCCGTTTCCTGACTCCACCCATATCTCTAATTAATTCCTATTTCACTTCCTCAATCCCGTAACTCTCACCTAGCTGAATTTGTGTTTTGCTTGATTTATTCCAAAAGGGAAACCCCTTGTTTGGAAACAAATCCCATCAGTTACTCCTCTCCAAAGCCACCGTTCCTTCTCAAGCCCGTAAGAGTGGATGGGAATTTTCTCCTGAGCTTTTCTCTTCAAGTGCAGGCTGAAATTTCCCAAAACCTGTAACAGATTTTGCTCTCAGCTTTCTATTCCCAACCACTAAAATCTGAGAATTTTCTCTCAGATTTTTTGTGGAAAGCTGAGGCACGTTTCTCAGCCTTTCTCTTTCCATTAAGGCTAGGCTTCTCCTTCAATCTTCTCTAGACCCTTATCTACTGGAACCTGAGAATTTTTCCCAGGTTTTGAATAAAAACCTGAAGAAAATTTTCAGATTTTGTGAGACATTTGGAGTTTGTCCATGTGCCATAGCAAAGCGCTTTTTCGTTCTACATCACTAAAGCACATGTCGATTATGACTGAAGTGATGAGGACATCCGACCATGGAAAGTTTATCAGAGAAGGGGACGAAGATCTACAGCCTTGATTAGACCACTTTATTTTTTAGCTTTTAGTTGTATTTGATTTATTTATGTTTTTTTTTTTTTTTTTTTTTACCCTCACTTGAGGAAGTAGGCTTATGTGACCCCAGAGGACACTTTTGTCACTAGATGTATTATTGTATTTTGGCTATTTATAGGCCTCTCCTTTTTGGAGGGGATGATAATTATGATGATTAGAATTTTCAGCACTTGTGTCCTTGGAGAGTTGTGAGAGCTCTTGTGAGAGTAGAAATACCTAGGTGATGGCAAAGTACTACTCATCAACCACAGGAAGCGTCCGGGTTCATGGTCCATTTCCTCCACCAACTTCCTCTCCCTCCTTCCCCTAGCAGCCAGTTCCCCCCACCCCCCTTCTTTCTCTAACCGCGGGCCCCACACTACCCTAGCCGTTGGCACCTTCCCTCCCTAAAGCGGCTGGCCGCCACCCCTTTCCCTTGCCCCCAAAATTTCAAATCAAGAAATTGATCCTTTCCATATTTGACACATCTTAAATTAAGAAGGTTTTAAATTCATATTTTAATTTATTTGAATTTAAAATTCCTTTCCTAAAATAAGATGGAGTACCTTAGGAAAGTTCCTCCACTCCCAAATTTCAAATCAAAAAATTGATCATTTCCATATTTGACACCTCTTAAATTAGGAATGTTTTAAATTCAGATTTTAATTTATTTGAATTGAAATTCCTTTCCAAAATTAAGATGAATCATCTTAGGAAAGCCACACCCCAATCAAGCCAATTTAAATTAAATAGAGAATTGCTTTAATCCCTCTTTCCTTAAATAATATTCTATGTTTGGCAAGCCTCTAAATTCCCTAAATCAACTCCCCCCACTCACCCTAGCCGCCGCCACCCTCTCTCCCCTCCTTCCCCTTTGTTCCTTCCAATTAATTCTCTTCCAATCAATCCCTCCCAAATTAATTCCAGATTTTGGCTAATTGCTGAAATTAAAATTCAGAATTTTCTATTTGATGCCTTTCCTTATTCGTTACCCAAGTAAGGAAAAGAGTGCTCAAGGGCAGGCCATAACCTCCTCCCTCTTCTCTACACTGAGGCTCCTTTGCTTGATGCTTTCACCTAAGAAGGAGAAGTGAATCCACCTCCCTTGGCTGGCCACATTCAAATCCTTCGAACACTTTAATCCCTTGTCGACTACAAGGAGTCTTTGCTTCAAAGCGAACCCACAAACAATCATCGTCTGGATCCTAAAGAACGTTGGAGCAAAGTTCAAAAGCTTGAAGGTGAACTCTGCTCTAAACCTTTTTATCTTTTAACTCCTCAATTGTGGCATCATTAAAATTATGAAAGCTTCTTTGCCTAGCCCTCTAATATGAGCATGTGTGAGGGATCTTAATAGTGACTATTCTAATTGTTAAACGAGGGAATACCTTTAAAAACCCCACGTTAAGCAAAGCTTGAATTGATTTGATTATTTTGTGCTCCTAACATTGTCTTGTAATCAATTGCCTAAGCTTAATCACTTCTTTATTGTTTTCAATCTTTTGTTTAAGTCGTAGGAAATTGAATAATTGATATTGCTCATTCATAAGCGTGTAATTTCAAAGTTAATAGCATCACATGTTGAACTACATCATGAAGCTTTCCAAATTCAGCACTAGATGTTTCAATCAAGATGGGCCAAACTGTAAATTCTTAATACAGAAGTTCAGCAACTGGTTGATTGATCATTCATTCCAACAAAGGCTGTAACTTAAAAAGAAGTGCATTATAAACGAGCAATATACTTACTGACCAATCCAGCTGCAAATGGGAAAATGGTTCAGACGGAAAGAATAGCCGCTTTTAAAACTGAAGTTAATGGAAAAGAAAGCTAACCTTAAGTAATCCCAGTTCCAAAATGAATCCCATTATCATTGGCACGGCAGTGAAAACGCCAATCTGAACCAAGAACTGAGCATTTAAAGCAGCATCAAGTGCAGTGTTTCCCGAAATCTTAGCTTTGAACGAGATGGCAGAATCAAGCCCAGAGAGTGCCTACAAGTATTGAAGCCAAGAAAATAAAAAAATAAGGCAGCAAAACAAAATATAACATATGGAGAATTTGTGTGTGTGTGTGTGTATATATAAAGAGAGAGAGAGAGAGAGAGAGAGAGATTTGTATGAAGAATTATCTACTGCAGACTTTTTTTACTGAACAGCTGAGCGGTAAAGAAACAGTAGAGGATTGCAGACTTACAAGGTAAACTCTTCCGTATAAGAAAATGTACACAGTTAGAACAGTCATCTGAATTCACAAAACAACTCGAGGTGAGAAAAAGTTCAATAGCAAATATGGACGATGCCAAAATAAAGACAATAAGATAGCATTACCATTGTACATAAGTAGTAACCCACGGTAGTAAAGTAGAAAGATAGCATTCTGAAAAAGTCAAACAGCTGCCCAATACGATAGACATCCCTACTTAAAACTTGTTCTCCATTTCCACCAGCCACTTTTCCCTCAAACAACGCAATTTGATTCAAACCAACATCCCTACCTTTCCCAACCTAATAAGTTAAAAATGTTTCAACAAATTTTCCTAAAATAAATACTTCACTAATAGCACACATGACAAATAGCTCAGAAAACCTGAATATATTCGTGGTGCGTAATATTTCCTTGCCGCAGGGTAGAGTTGAAACCTGAAATGTTTCTTAATAAAATTAAATACAGGCTAGAAAAAAATTAGTCTTTCACACATGCAAGTTAAATGCCATATATATGTTTTAATATAGCAAGCAATAGGTGAACAATTTGATCTTAGAAACAACACATGTAAAAGAGCAGAGCTGGGCATAGTATTATTCTGATCAAGCTCAACAGCTTTTCCAACAGATATTGAACCAAGCTCGAAGAAGAATCACTCTCTAAAAACGGCTAAAATTTGTTTACAATCCTTATGCATCAATGTTGAGCCACACTCAAGCAACAAACCAGCTTTAAAAATTAGGTTAAATTGATTTACTCATCATAGTAAACAACATTGTGAAAACCGGACCGGAAGAAGGAGAAGCTCACAGTTCGACCGGACAGTTTTCTCAAGTAACAAGAACAACGTAGGACTAAGGAATGTCATTGAATTTTGAAACTTATAACACTGTCAATAAACAAAATTATAAAAACATGTTAAAAAATTAACAATTTCTTAGAGTTACCTGCATAAATATCTTCGCTGATATTAATTACACGAGATGCCTTGCTTATTCCCCCTCTAGTTATGTGAAACAATCTATCAAAAACATCAGGATGCCCATAATGCATACGAACCCTGTAAAGGTTTTTACAACTTCAGGAAATATATTCAACATTTTTATCAAATTATAGACATAGCTAGTAACTTGAAAACAAAGGCATCAATTCTGATTAAAAATGAGGATAAATACAATAAGAAATAAACTAAATTATGCGCATCAAAATTGCTAATTTCATATCAAAAATGAACTAGAGCATCATGCACGTTGATCACTTGCATCAAAAAGATCAACAAAGATTAGGGTCACAAAAATTACCAGGAGATTTAACCAATGCCAGGTTTTCCAATGTTATGATGGATCATAGAGTACAAAGAATCGATGAAAGACCAATTACTTTGGAACCCTGACAGTAAGTTATCTTAGTTAATTATATGTGAGCATTAACGAGGGATCTCCATTTACATTTTGTCAGCCTTCTTCAAAACCTATCTTCTTACAAGTCTAAATTTCAGATTTGGAAGCGTTCATCAAGCCAAAAAGATCTATAAGCAAAATGTCTACAACTAAGAAATTGTAAAAAAGAAATTTCAAACAATAAAGAAAACAAACAAAAAAAGATAAAGCAGAACAATGCACTTACTTCAAAGGATATGCCAGAACTCGTTGACCCAAAGTAACAAAGCTAGTTTCTTGATTTGACATGAACCATGCCAGTGAGGACACACTATTGAAAAAAACAATTAGATGCTTAGTTAATAAAAAAAAATTAAGATATAAATAAAAAGAGGATAGTGGAAAATAACAGGTGTAGAACCTTCCAGTGAAAACATGCTCCCTCAAGCCAAGGATTGTAGGAGCTCGAATACCATAATTACCCCCGAATTCTTCAAGTAGATTCCTCATCTTTATAGCTTCCTCAAGGTAGTTGTCCTAGAAAATTTAGAAGGTTTATTATACATTAACTGGAATAAGTTTGTAAGTTTGTTGAATCCATCAAAATGTTATTTTCTTTCTTATATAAAAAGGAAAAACTGATGCAACTTTTAAAAGCTACAAAGCATGCGTAAAAAAAATAGACCGAAAAATATAGATTATGGAAACTTCCTATTGCTCAATCTATTAGCATCCTATGATACACTAACACTTTCCCTCAAAGAGGTATGCAGTGTCCAACATGTATCGGACAAGAATCTTCCAACACGTGTCGGACAAGCTGAAGACAAATCCAATTAAAAAAAATATTAAAAATAAATTGGACACGAGTGTCTAAAATATTTTATGAAAAATAAATAAATATAATTTATTGTATCTCAAATTTTAGTTAGTAAAAAAATAAAAAACTAAATTTTTTATTTCCTCTCCAAAGCCTCAAATCAATTACCAGCACTCAATACCAAATTCCCTGAACATTCTCATTTTCATTTCTCTATGGTAGGTTACAACTAGGGTTTCACAACAACAATCAATGCTATCTCAATATCGACATGCAGTGCCATCACAACATCAGTATTTTAAAATCATCTCAACAACATAATCAGACACACTAGCACTGTATGTGAAGAATTCATGAATAAAATAGGAGAAAGTGAGCCAACTCATCTCATTCAATTCATATAAAAATCATACAATATGAAAGATCTTAAGGCATAATAATGAAAAGAAACACAACTAATACATACTAAAACGGAATATAGCTTAATGATATTATATTTTAAACAAATGTTTGGAATAGCTAACAATCAAGAAACAATAACGGGTAAATTATAAATTGAAGCCAAATAGGGACCAGCGCTGTTGCATGTATCCCTTTGGCATGAGATTAAATACACATTCATGTGACATAATTTGAGGAGATTAACGATAAATAACAGCATATAATTGTCCGGATTTGCATCCCTGGATTGATCCCTCCATCAAGTAATTATTGTCCCAATTTTCTTTCACGGATTGATCCATATAGCTTGCACGGACTGATTCACAGCAATGTAATTACAAGTATCCAGAAATAGAGAAAGCACAAGAAATGCAAGGCACGGTTTGGATTAACTGCCTAAATTTCCAATAAGGAAAGCAACAGTTTACATTAATACGTCCGTATTTCCAAAGGTATGTCCATAAGCCGATTTTTTTCAATGTGGTCATAAACACCGCTCAATAAATAGGGAGTAAATACAGGTTGACTTCATCAATGTTGAGACTTCATGACCTCGATAAAGTGTTTTGTAGTACTTTTCATATTTCATGTTGAGATCATGCATATTTGTGATTATCAAGTTATAGGGAAATTTGACCTAAGATTTATGGAGTGGATATTAAGGCCAATATGCATTTGGGTGAATAGCAAGCTCACATATGTGATGAGGTTGATCCCTGATAATTGTGTGGAGAGAACATATTTCCATTGTCGTCTGTAGGAGCATAGTTCAAGCAGAGGAAGTGTGCAACCATGTGAACACATTTACTCATTCTGGATGGAGTAAGTGCCTTGGCATTGATCAGTAACTTCATAATGAATGTTATTATTGTTGCGTCCTGAAGTATTCGCAGCCGTAGAGAAATATATAGTTTAACGTCTTAACATTGTACGAAGATCCAGCACACAATCAGATGAGTGAGAGGGTGTAGCGTTCATGGTCTGGCCCAATTTGAATGAATCCATTAGTATTTGCAGTCGATTACAAATGAGGCCCTTCCTCGGGAGAAGGCCTTGGCTTTGATGATACAATGGTACATCATATAGAGCGCATTAAATGGTGGGAGTTACAATGTAGACATGTTTGTTTGGTCGGCATGATCATAGTCGATAGGATGGAGGTCCGAAAGACCATTGTCATGTGATGGAGGTTGGAAGGACCATAGTAGGCGACGGAGGTCAGAAAGACTGTAGTCGGCAGGAGACCGGGGTCAGAAAGACTGTTGTCTGTTGATGGAGGTCGAAAAGACCATAGTAGGCGACGGAGGTCCGAAGGACCGTAGTTGGCAGGAGACCGGGGTCAGAAAGACTGTTGTCTATTGATGGAGGTCGGAAGGACCATAGTAGGCGACGGAGGTAGAAGGACCGTAGTTGGTAGGAGACCGGGGTCAGAAAGACCGTTTTCTGGTGGAGGTCTGAAGGACCATAGTAGGTGACGGAGGTCCGAAGGATCGTAGTTGGCAGGAGACCGGGGTCAGAAAGACTGTTGTCTGTTGATGGAGGTCGGAAGAAAAATAGTAGACGACGGAGGTTAGAAGGACCGTAGTCGGCAAGAGACCGGGGTCAGAAAGACCGTTGTCTGGTGATGGATGTCGGAAGAACCATAGTAGGCGACGGAGGTCCGAAGGACCGTAGTCGGCAGGAGACTAGGGGTCTGAAAGATCGTAGTTGGAGGGCGGAACTTCGGTAGAAGTCCGGGCGTCAAGTGATGGTCTGGTAGAACTTCGCGCCTCAGGTGATGGTCTGACGAAGGTGAGGGCCTCTAGCGAATGTGAGTGCCTCTGGCGAAGGTGAGGGCCTCTGACGAAGGTGAGGGCCTCTGACAAAGTGAGGGCCTCAGATGGTGGTCTGGCGAAGGTGAGGGCCTCTGACAAAGGTGAGGGCCTCAGATGGTGGTCTGGCGAAGTTGAGGGCCTCTAGCGAAGGTGAGGGCCTCAGATGGTGGTCTGGCGAAGGTGAGAGCCTCTGGCGAAGGTGAGGGCCTCAGGTGGTGGTCCGGCGAAGCTCCGGCGGTGGTCAGGCTAGGCTCTGGCGATGGTCCTGCGAGGCTCCGGTGGTGGTTCCACGAGGCTCCGGCGGTGGTCCTACGAGGCTCCGCAGTGGTCCGGCGAGGGTGAGGGCCTCAGGTGGATGTCCAACGAGGTTCCGGCGGTGGTCCGACGATGCTCTGGCGGTGGTCCGGTAAGGCTCTTGCGGTGGTCTGGCGAGGTTCCGGCGGTGGTCGAGGAGGAGCTTCTTCCTTCTCTTCCTTCTCTTCTTCCTTCTCTTCTCTTCTTCTCTTCTTGCTTCCCCCCTCCTTTCAAGAGAAATGAGGGGTCTATTTATAGATTTCTGGAGTGGCATGGCCCATAAATAGGTGAGAGATCAAGGGTAAATGGGGAGTGGTTGGATGGACGACCGATATTAAATCCCTTGATCATGTACCGTTCTTTAGACATTTGAAGGCCTTAATGATGTCAGAATTCGGCGATCTTGGGCTCGTTGGATTTGTCTCGTCGAGCCGCTCAATTCGACTATAACCTCATTGTGTTTGGAGACTGTTTGGTAATCCAAATTGCTGTTCAAACCTTCCAACATCGCTTCGGGTCCTTGATTTGTACTCATTTGGACTCGGATTGAGTCAAATTTGGTGTCGTTGGGTTCGTATTTCCGAGGTGCTCAGTTGGACTATAAGTTTGCTGAAATCAGAGTTCGGATGGTGTCCGAATTAATTTTTGAAGTTTCCAACTTGATTTTGCATCGAGATTCGCACCCGATCAAGATAATTTTTTTGATGACGTATCAATTATAATGGCACCTTCTTGGTAGACGTTGTAAGTTATTATAATAGTAATTGCTAACTATTAAGGAGATGCATAACAATAAGCATATCTTTCATTATGTCATTATCCCAATGGCTTGGAGCTGGACAATTCCTTTTGGACAATAGTGTGCTCACTTCCATCATTAGTATATCAAAAGTTAATCACGATCTTGTTGACTATGTCTTTATTTTATATTTTGAGGATTATATCTAAGTATTTCAGCAAAAGCTTGCAAACCAAGTAGCTAAAATTAATGATTTAGTTTTTTTTCCCTATATATTTTAGAATATTTGCTTATATTCCAATGCGATGTTCCATGGGCTATATTAGGGGCCTAATAGAACAAGAAAATAATGATTAAGAGCTAGCGTCACACTAATAATTATTTTTCTGAAATTTTCAATATCATTAAAAAAATTCAATGGAAAAGAAACCACAATTTGATTATATTAAGCTAAAATATGATAAAATGAGACTAAGCTATGAAAAGATTTTGGACTCCATAAAGCGAGCTACCTGATTCATATCAATAGTCTGGATAGCTTCACCACGGGTAAAAATTATAGCATGATTTTGATTTTCAGGTTTCCCTTCTCCAAGCTTAGGATCTCCAGGAAGTTTGATGGAATATATTTCCTGAAATAAAATGGTCATAATTCAAGGACTAATGACAAATACAAACGTACTATAGACCATATTATCTCTTTATAAATAGACAAGCATGAATATATACAAGAGCAAATAACAAACGAAATTCACTCATTTTAAATGATCGATAAATTAGTCACGTCAACCTGATCTCTTCCATGGACATCAGCCTTTACGAGCTTTGAGTAGTATTCCTTAATTATACGATCAGATGATGAAATGTCCTCCACATGAATAAAAGCAACCCGTAGGGCTTCATTTCTAATAATTATAGAAAGAAAAAAAAAAAAAAGAAAGCCACAAATTTCAAAAGGAATTAGAATATAAATAGATGATTAAAAAAACTCAAAATCTACATTATCAGCAAAAACGTAACAGTGATAAGCTAGGTTTTTTAAAATCAAAATTGGAGGCCTTGATCCTTTTGAAAAAGGTTTCTAAGACAATATTAGTGAATCAGGCTACAAGCCAATATGAAAATTAACCCCATAACTTGGGAAGAAAAAGTAAGGACAGTGAATAGAATTAATCAAGAGGTCAAGAAGGATAAGGACTAATCAAAATATTACAAAGAAATTAAACCGAAAAAGTCAAAACCAGATGTAATGCCCACATGAACACACAAAAGCAAAGTGCATGGAAATATACATAAGTCATTTGTCAAGTAGAGAAAGCAAAATTATAGGGCTCAGACCTTTGCATAAGTAGAGCAATATCTGCAGCCTCTGGTGCTTTCTTCTGTTTCTGCTGCCCATAAATTTGACATGAGACAACATAAGTAAATTTAAGATCAGCCTGGGCACGAGAATCAGAAGACAATTCAAATCCTTCGGTATTAATAAAATCAGCTCCAGAATATCCATCTTCAACTCCTGCAATTTTATACCGGTAAGCCAAGTCCAGCAGAAAGATAGCAAATGGAAAAAATAAGCAACAACAGCTTATTAGATTACCTACAGAACTTCTTCTCTCCAAGTAGCTTTGGAGCATAAGAGCTCTTCTATAGTACATCATACCACGTACTGCATCAGCATGAAGGACGAAAAAGAAAAGGAGCAATCATATAAGAACTACAAAGAAGAAAATTATCTGAATCCTAAACAATAAAATATTATCTGATCAAAATTCATATAATTACTGTCGAAACTAAACCAAACATATGTGAATCTGCCTAAGAACATGAGCGAAGACTGTTAAATTTGTAACAAACATCACAAAAGTATGCATATGCAATTCATTTACAAAGTGCATCCAACCAACATTGTTTACGTAAAATACTTAAGTTCTTCAAGACCAATAATGTGGAAAATGCAAGTTTTATAGTTTAAACAATAAATGAATGCTTGGTTCAACAATAGTCAAGGTGATATAGAAAGGATGAGTGGCCTTGACTTTAAACATGGAGATTGTAGTCTCCAGCATAAGAAATAGCATCATATAAAAACAACTATCAACAATTTGACAAAAGGAAAACAAACAGCAGATGAATATGGGGAAGGAGTCGGAGGAAGAGTTTGGGAGTACAATAAGGGCAGAGAAAAAGAAAAGACTTATAACCTGTTCTTGCTAATGTCTGACCACGATAAGATGCCCAAAAACGCAGTTCTAGTGTGTCACTTGAGCTATCTTGTAGAGACTCAGCAGTTGATTCACCTCGCCCAATCCGCTCGAGAAAATTCTCCCATTCATCTACAAAAAAAAGTTTACATAGATTATTCACTCTGCTGCATAACTACAAGCAACCATCAAGTAGATCATGTATTAGCCTGAAAAACATATGCAGATAATACTTGGACTGTATTTCATCCAAGTCCATGTTTCGTATTTGTAAATAATGCATGACAGACATTTAAACTTCATAGGTAGGAAGTTAATTCTACAATTGCAGAAAAATTTAAGTGTTGGCAACATGAAATTATTTATCATAATGGTCTAATATAGAACATATTTATTACATATAAATCCATCTTCAATGCAAATGAATTTAAAAAAAGTACTACTTTCATATCTACAAAATTCCAGTTTATTCTAAAGTTTCATTTTCGAAGTTTCTTCGATAAATCAAAATGATCATTAACATGGAAATCTTCTCAGATTGCAACTTCATTTAAATTTGTAAACAATCCACACCATTGTTTAAAATTGCACAATATGTGGCTTGACTGGAGGCCTGGCTCAGCACAATTTCAATGAAAAATGCTCAAGACTTATGCTTGGAGAATTTTATATGAGGTGTGCTCCTCAGTTTGGTTGAGGCAGGCCTTGCCTCACTAGCGTGATGCGTATACCTCTCCACCCCCATCGTAGCAACTGTCCGGGATCACTTGGAACCACACACCACCATGACCTCCTCTAAAAATTTTGGAGTATCACTCCCACCTTTATGTTGATGAAAAATATCTGTAAAAGAGGAAGATGATTGAAATAAACGAGACGTGGCAAATTTGGAGGCATTTGATTCCACAGGATAAGACAAGGGAGATACCAATTTGTTATGACATAGACTCAAATAACGACCCTCTTAGTGATGGCAGTACAGATAATTTCTGAGTTGTTGCGAACTATTTCGGCTTTTTTTAGGAATTAAATGTGGATGAGTAGGAAACTGGGAAAGAAATTTGGAGTTGAACTTGATTTTATATGATACTTTTATGCAATTTCTATATTTTATGTTGTTATGCTCTTGTAATAATTGAATTTCAATTATATTTCACGCAATTTATTATTTGTCACTTTACGTCTTATGCATTTTTTTGTTTCATATGTATGTTAATTTGTTACTTCATAGTTCAATACAAAATTAATATGTCATCCTTTAACATATTATTTGATTATTATATAAGAAATTATTTTTAACCATTATTTTTATTTTACTCAATTTTTATATTTTGAGGCTTACACCTCAAACCCCCTTGAGACTTATACTAAGCCTCGCGAACAACAAAATGCCTAAATACCCAATTACTCAATTTTAAACTTTGGTCCGCACAATACTATTAATGCTAGTAGCACCCTCTACTTCGATATACTACTAAACAACCTAGCCAGCAGGTTAAATATTAGTCATGACTCTCATCAGAGGGGAGGCAAACTTTGTTATGTTGATCTAGACCATCATTAGTTCAGGGTAATATGATATTATGGGTAGGACTTTCCTTGAGATAAATCTTCAAATGTATATAATTATGGACATGATGATCATTATTATTGATGCGAGCAAGAAATACAGGGGACCCTATATCTCTCGATCGCAAAGGAGAGGACGGACTTCTACCGACGAAAATGACTAAGGATGAGAAAAGGGACGAACAAACTCTTACATTTCAAATTAAAGAAAAGAAAAGAAATTAAAATTACAAACTCGACTCGATCTCAAAGACGACACCCTAAAGTTGCTGCACTTAGAGAAGAAGGATACAGGTGGAGTGGCACTTGCGGAGAGATGAAAGAGGTTAGAAGCCCGAGAAGAAAGGTTGGAAAGAGCTCGCAGGATTTCCGGAGGGGATGAGAAAGAGGGGTGGAAAGAGCCCGCAAGATTTCCAAAGCAAACCCGCAGGATTTCCAAAGCAAGCCCGCTGGTTATAACTTTTCAAAAAATCACATTTTCATTCAACTTCAAACATTACAAATCCCCCATATATATAGGTATGAAAGGGAATACAAAGAGACACATTATATTAATTTTAACGCAAGAAACTAAGCATCAAAAGCATTAAACCCAAATGCTTTTCACGCAAAAACAGCCCAAGCCAAGAAACCGAAGAGGTAGCCGCGGGAGCCAAGGAGGCCGAGAGGGAACCAAGGGGGCACGGTCACGGGAGGGAGCACAGGCACGGGAAACCAGCAGCCGGCCGGAATCCAAGGGGGTAAAAGCACATAAAGCCATGGTGGAATTCAAGGAGCCACCATGGGAAGACTAAACAAATATCTTAGGATTCCAAAAGCCCTTTTTGGAAACCCAAGAGACAACATTAAAACTTAAAACATTAAAACATAAAAATACATTTAATAAAAAGATAACTATGAGCTAAAATCATAGCTAATAATGAGCTAACCCTTAGTTCAATAAATGAACTAAAGACCAGCTCATAAATGAGCTAATAAAATTTCAGCTCAAATTTATTTGAGCTAGTAGACTCGAGGGAAGTCAAAAATCTAATTATTTTTGACATGAGTTGACCCTCCCTTTGTCTACATCAATTATGGGTAGGCTTGTTCGCACGAAGACAAGCGGACAAAGACCGGAGTGCAGGGCTTGTTCGCACAAAGTCGAGCGGATGGAGGTCAGTCCGATCGTTCTCATATAGGGAGGAGGCCGGCCATAATTGAACTTGTGGCTGATTTGTTGTTTCGATTCGCAGAAGGCCAGAGGCACAGGGTAGCCAAGCAGAAACGAGGTCACCAATGCTAGAGAAAATCCGATTTCTTTAGCAACGTAAGCGTAATTTTTTGTATCTGATTTTCTGATGTTTGTACGAACCCTTCTCCCCACGACGTGCACGTTCTGTCGGTCGTGTGTTCGGGTTTTGCTAACGTGTTTTTCCAACATTAACTGCCATTGTGTACTGGAATGATTATTTAAGCCATTTCCGCAAGCATTAAACACTGGTTTGCGTATAAAACTGTAACTAAAATTCAACTCGTCATCGTTTGAGTTTTAAGGCTATTTGCATGATTTAACTGTTATATGCACATATATAATTGCTATAGCTATTGACAAACTATTTGAGATTTAACTGTTATATGTACATATATAATTGCTACAGCCATTGACAGCTGCCGCTGTTATTATGACTGACAGAATATGCTATAGCACAATAACGAAAGATAACCCAGCTAACAGAGCAACAGATAGTTCACATTATTTTGTAAGAATAAGAATCAGAAAAAAATTAACCGAAATGAGGAATAAAAATAGAATAAAATTCTACAAGATGTATTTATTCTGGAACCCAAAAAAAGGTCGCAACAAATGAGCCAAGCTCCGTTCAATCTGGCATCTAGTAGAGGTCCGAAAAATTTTTACCACAACCAAAAAGGATGTTTCAGTGTTTCAAAGCAGCAACAACGAGGTCATTATGGAGGCTACCTACCATATTTCTCCAATACAACCGACAACAGAATGTTCAAGAACATCACAAACAGAAAACTGAGTACAAACGAGCATCACAACCAGAAAACCGAGTACAAACCTGATATTTAAACCAAGCAATTTTTCTGATATACAGCATTAAAATTAATTGAAAGAAAATATTATTAGTTTACTAAAAGTAAGTTCAAAAGAAAAAAACAAAGATAAAGAAACTGAAAACAGTATGGACTGAGGTACCTGGAAAAATTTTTTGAAGATAGAAAAGGATAGAAATTCCATCCTCATTTTCTACTCTCAGATCTGACAAACTGTACAGCACGGTTTCACTATAGTATGGAGTGAAAACACTAGTTGAAAAAAAGAAAGAGAGCAATCAGTTTCTTGTACTAGATTAAAAGCTCAGTAATTAGTTGATACAAAACAATTTAGAACGGAAGTTCAATACAAAAATACTGGAGCACTCCAACCGTATCGCAGTTCTACTAAAAAAACTTCTGTGCAAAATAATTTTCAAGTAAAAAAGCTAAACCAGAATATGCATGATTAGAGCACCTAAAAGGTATCATTTCAGAAACAGACTTTGCTGGAGGCATTTTCATGAATAATGAATTCGCGAAAAATTCAAGCCTTCTTCTAGCTTCAAGATTTTTTGGGATATTGGCAGCTGAATTTTTAACAGTTAGAAGTAGATGCAGGCGTTTAATCTGCTCCTTCTGCATAAAAGAACAGTAAAGAAGTCAGACTTATGAAATTAAGTTTGGCAATGAAAAAATAAGAAAAAAACATACAAGTTCCGGATTAGTGGGCCACAGTATTCTAGAGAAAAGCCTTCCCTCGTGCCTTGCTTTCGCTAAAATATTCCATGTATCAAAAAAGTCGCTGGATGGGAAAACATTTCAGTCAAATTAAAAACTAAAAAAAATAGAAGTTAAAAAAAAAACTCGGGTTGGTAAACAAACAACATTTATGAACAGGTTTCAAGATACCTAAGGTTTGGTGTCAGGAAATCATGAGTAACAACGTCATACAGATCATATACAGCTTTTGCAGCACCCCGAGCCAGCTCAGGAGTTTCATTTCGTGTCTACAAAAGTACGTTAAATTTAACAAATCTAATCCCGATTTAGAAAGAATATTTAACCAGTGATTATTAAAGAATATGCAGAACATTGTATAGACCATTAATAAAGCATTTTATTATTAATAAATAACCATTTACGGTTCACACAAATTCATTTGAAAACAAATAAAAGAGTGTAGTTAGGCAATGACCGAGTACAATTTAAGCCTTTTAGCAACTAAAAAACCATTTAGGTGCATTTTTATACATGGTTCAAGAACTCTGATCATTCAAAAATCTGAAATAACAAAAATCTAGCACTCTCTGCTAGGCTTAATATCGTTTAAAAACTTAATATAAGATTTACATCCACTATACCCCACACATTTAATTGCAAGAGACAAATGACGCTAAAGCCATTGTACAGCATAAGTTTGTAAGTCTCACCTATGTAAAATCTAGCCCAATACACTACGTAAAGTAGCGAAGATGACAAGATCCCTGGCACAATAATCTTTATGTAAAATTAAGTGCACACGTGCCCTTGTCTCGATTTGTATGTTCACGCATGGCTACTTGATGTCACAAAAGATAAAAACATTCAAAGCCTAGAAATCTTATACACATTTCAGACAACAGAACCCATGTGTACTGTGATGGGTATAATTATTGTAAATCCCAACCGAAGGAGTTCCCAATAATGAAATCTATGCCCCACATAATGAGTAGAGCAAATCATGAAAAGCCCATGTCAATGATAGGTTAAAATTATTAGAATATTAGATTAAGAGAGGTCCAACATCAAAATCAAGCTCCCGATCATAAAGAAAAACCCTTTAAGCTTTGTCTCTAATGATGGGTTCAATTATCAAAAAACTAAATTCTATAAGACAATAGGAAACGCCCTCTTAAATATTAAAAGAAAAAATTTCAGAATCTTTCTACACTGATGGGAAAAATAAAAACAAAATCAAAGAACCCTATAACAATCTAGACACTATAAAAAAACAAGAACACAAAAAAAATGTAATCAAAGATAAAAAATTTCACACATAGAGTAACCATCCATTAATTATCTACTACAATTACATAAAATAACAATTTTAAGTTTAATTATACAGAGCCAATGTCATATAAAGTGCATTCATACGACTATATTGAAAAATCTCATGCTAGTAAGGACATAGCACTTGCCCAAGAGAATAAAAAAATTGCATTTATACCAATCTCACCAATCTTGTCTTGTTAGAATATAAGCCTCACTTTAAATAAATTAGTCAATAGGTGGTTCTCACCTTACGTCTAGGGTCCAAAATTGATGACCTTTTTAGTTTTGTGATGCGGACATCCAACCATCCATGCCTATCCGAGGACGAGCTGAAGATCGACGGCTGTGATCATCCTACGTTATCATAAATTTTATTTGTAATTTTTATTTTTATTATGCATTTTCCATTTTTACCCTTAAGGGTCTAATCTTATGTAAGCCCTAGGGGCATGATCATCTTCTTTTAGTTTATTTTATTTTTGATGCCTATATATAGAGGTCCTTGCTAGTGTAATGGTATGATGGAGTTTAAACAAAAAATTTTGTTATGTACTTTTGTTCTTGGGAAGAACGTTAGTGAAAATCCCTATGGAGGGAATCGTGGTTTCCACCAGCCGCAAGATGGGTCCGAGCTCGTGGCTTAAAGTCCCTTGGTGAAGGGCATCGTATCACCCGTCAGTCTTTGGAAGAGTCCAATGCTCACGGTAATATCTTTTTTTTTCTTTGCTTTGTTTTCTTAGAGAAAAAGGATTCAAGTAGCCGACCCCACGTAGTGGGATAAAGGCTTGATGTTGTTATTGTTGTTGTTGTTGTTTCTTTGTTTTCTCCATATTTTCCTAATCGCCATTTACATCCTCCCTCCAATCCCGCTGGCTTCATCCCATCCTCCACCCAAACCCGTCGGCCTCTTCCCACAATCCCCTCTTCTTCCCCACCGAAATTCCCCATCTCCATCCTAAGCCTAACCGGCCAGGTTTCCCCCACTCCAAACCGCCAATGCTCTCAAAAATCAAAACCCTAATACCTCCATAGCCGCTGGCCACCTTCTTCCCTCCATTGGCTCCCACAATTTCATCTAGTATTCAAAACCTTCCTATTATATACATCTTAATTTGGAAATGAATTCGAATTCAAAATTCAAATTAATTTGAATTTGAATTTATTTCTTAAATAAAGACTCTTCTTTTAGGAAAGTTGTTTAAATTAAGTCCAAATAAATTTTTGACTGGATTTGATTTAATTTCTTCTCATCAATTAAAGAGCTTTGATTAGGCAAGCCATAAAGTCCCTTACCTAATCCCTCTTTCCCTCTTAAAGCCGCCGGCCACCTGACCCTAATTCCTAGCCTAACCGCTGGCTTCTTTTCCCCAATCCCCCTTTGCATCCAAATTCGAATTCCTATTCAAGACTTTCCTTTTATTCAACCTCTTAATCTAGGAAAGTTTTCAAATTTCAATTTCAAATCAATTTAAATTTGAAATCCTTTCCTAAAATAAGTTCAATTTCATTTGGAAACTTCCCTAATATTCTCATATCTGAAATTAATTCAGGTTTAAATCAATCACCACATTCAACAAACTTGGACACCCTCTCTCCTCTCCCTCTCTAGGCCGGCCCCTCCTCTCTCTCTCTCCAATCCATTTAATTCCCATTAGTTCCCCCCTCTTGGAGCCTTAATTCATCCTTGACGGGTGATGCAAGGCCCTCTCCTAGGGTTTATCCTCTCAAGAACTCACAAAGAGATAAAAAAAAAAAAAGCTGTAATATTTCATTCATAATCATCATTAACACCTACCTAAAATAGCCTAATTGGTTTGGGGAAAGATCTAAATAATTTAAAATTCAAAATTTGAATTTCAAATATTTTCCTAAACTAAGAAAGCTAAATTAGGAAAGTTTATAAAATGGGATCTAATTTAATTTTAAATTAGATTGGTCATTCCTATTTCATCCCTAATTAATAAGAGTGCATTAGGAAACTATTAAACCCTTCACAATCTCCCCCCTATTCTCTCTATGCCGCCGGCCCTCCCCATGCTCCAAATTTTGAATTCTAATCCTTCCCTCCACCCTAATTTAATTCTCTTAATTAATTACCCTCCTGGGTAATTAATTTTAAAGAGGATTTAATAACCCTAATTCCCCTAACCCATATTTGAATTTGAATTTGAATTTCAAATTCTTTTCCCTCCTCATTTAGTTAAATCTGAAATTAATTTCAGATTTAATGCTCTTTCCATAACCCCAAACCTAGACCCCACAAACCTTAATTCCCTCCACACTTGGTCGGCCCTCTTGCTTACTCACCTTCTTGGAATTCCTTTCATCCCATGAGCTCTCTTGCAAGAAAAGAAGTCAAGCATCTTCCATCCGGACGTTGGTGGATCACCGGTCGTCTACACAAAGCTCCTCCTCCGGCTAACTTCCGTTGGATCTCTACCCCGGCTTCCTCTCATTCATGGTGGCATCTTCCGAATTGTGTCGATTCTTCTTCCGCTAACCCTTAAAGAGTGTGAGTGAGGGAAACTCGAGGTGAATTTTCTCTTTGTTACGTGGTGGATTGTTTGTTTGTTACACTACTTATTTTTATTATAATCTTGATATTATTTTGAGATCTTGTTTTCTATTGTATGGTTACTTGTCATATCAATTTAAACGATTTTAAATTCATAAAATCTTTTCAAAGTGAAACATTAAGTTTAAGTTTTGACGCCTAATTCAGTCATTATAAATTTCTACGTGCAATTCCAATCTGGTTTCACATCATTTTGTCATAAGTCCTCACTTTTCTAACAGTGTCATCAATCTTATGTTGTTAGAACATAAGCCCCGCTTTTAAATAAATTAGTCAACTTTAATATAAGTTCAATTTTAAAATATAAAGCCAACATAGAATAATTTTTAAGTACCTCTAAGCTTCTCCAAATAAAGTACTCATCAATTCCTCATTTCCTATAGGAAATCAATTCTAAGTTATTCCAATCATCTTCACAATTCCAAAGACCAAATATTTAAAATAAAATTCTTAAAATTATATAAAATGTTAACACATAACTTGATTAAAAAATTATTATTTAAAAAAAAATTTCAAGTGTCAAACACTCCTAAGACATAATTATCCATAGGGGCTTGTCCTTTATGGGGAACCTGCACCCTAGAGTAAAATAAATCCTACTCAATCCAAAATTTTATATATGAGAAAATCTTTTGGAACATAAAAATTTTATCTTTATATATAAGTTCCTTTTGTTATTGAGTCCACATTGAAATAATAACTTTATCCTTCTAAATAATCTATAATTTTCTATATCGTACTTGATTACAAAATATTTCAAATATGTTAACAAAAATTCCCTATCATCCCTCACCTTCCAACTCATCTCTATGTGAAACCTAGCGAATGCCACTCGCCGATCCCCATGAACCCAGCTCATTAAATTGTTTAGAAATGCTTTAACTAAGCTAGATCAACTTTTAGACAACTGAATGAATACAAACAAAACTAATTTTCATTCATCATGACACTCGGAACAAGAATAAACAAGGTAAAAGGCTCACTGGCTGAGGCTAATATATGCTGGCTATCCACAAGACTATCGTGACAGATAAATAGAGATTACTTGATTAGAGCAAGGACGTAAGATAGACAGGCATATTCAAGAGAATATTCCCATTTTTTGAATCATCAGCCCAATCATAAGAATTTCATAAAAATACTGTCATGGAAAAATGCAGAAAGCTTTGTGCATCAACCACTTGCAATACCCTACTTCACTGAGATCTTCATGCATTGCATGTCACTTCACCAATCATAAGATGTATAAGGACCAACTTTCTCACATATAAAAGAAATCTTAAAAATAGATTTAAGAAAAATATTTTCCTCAAACACAATGGGGTTAAGTTTAAAAATAGAATAATATAAATGAATAAATGTGAAGTATCAGCTACACAAAATTTTGTCAGTATACTAGAAAACAAACTTCATAACAGCCCACACACTTGAGGAAACATATAAGAACTAATAAGCATTTTATCCAATTGAATGCTTACTAGGAGTCCCGTCAAAGCGTTAAGTCTAGATGCTACCAGCTGCAGTTTCTTAAGTAACACAGTAACCAAAAGAGAGCTCTCTGATATACTGTTGTTAATCTCACGAAATAGCCGTTCAACCCTGAAATAGAGATCAATAAAGAGTAAAGCTTAAGTTCTAATCAAAATGAAGCATCAAAAACAAATACCAATTGTAACTTTAGCATCCTAAAAAATGTTTTATACCAAAGTCTTCCTTCTCCATCATCAATTATAGATTGTAGAATGTTCTGAGCATTATAGTAGCATTCCTGAACAGCATAAGCCATGTACTCATCCCTAGATATTCGGTTCCATAGATCAGCTTGATTATCCTCACAGGCTCCAGCCAATTCAAGGGCATATGGGATCTAGAAAAACAACTGAAGCAGTTAGGAATGACTCAAATGCAAAATACCCAAAAAAGCATTTAAGGAAGGAAAGCTCAAAGCTAAGAAATAGGTAGACCTTGCTACTCAAAAGAAATAATGGCCACTGAACTAATCTTAAACTTCCTGAATTGCTTGGCATAGAAAGCAAATCCATTTCCCTGAAATACACTTGGAAGGCTTTCATTGCTGTCGACATAAATTGTGAACATTAAAGAGATCAAAAGATACGCAAATAAATATATATTCTCATTTGCCTATTGCTGATATAATCTTCTTCTCTAAGACTTTTTATGATATCATTCCAAAATGGAGCAAATGTAGCAGCATATGCCTTATGAAGGTCCTGCGATTCCCAGTTTAAGAAAAACAAAAGTTAATTTAACAAGCTGAAGTCTTATAAAAAGGCATGAGTCCATAACATCTAAAAAACTATAAGATCTAATTAGCAAAACATGGGATGGGCATTAAAATTTGTGTGTTACAGATATTACTAGAATTTAGAAGAAAAATTTCAAATTTTTGACATAACTAAATAAGGTTAAGTAATATATCCAAAAAAAAATACAATGAAATAATACATAAAATACTGTGTACTAGTTCCAAATATGCTTATTTTTTCATATTTCTGAAAGGAAATTGAAAATGACATAATAATTCGCATGTAAATGCATTATGAGTATAATGGTGAATTTGCTCACTAAGCTACAAGATATTAAATCAAATAAAACATTAAAACTACATAATAGCTGAAACTGGACTACATTCTCTGATTCTACGGATGAACCTTTTTCCCGTCATAATGAACTTACTTTTAACCAGCAATCATCAACGTACCTATATGCATGCTTAACACGGATATATTACCATCATATTAAATACATCACACATTATCCTTACAACATCAATGCAAAACAAAAAAAAAAGGCCATATAGTTTTACAAATTTATCACCATAGGTATACAGTCCATAGCCTGGAGAAAATCAAGATCAAGGGTCTTGGTTTTCATCTTGAAGTTTCCAAAATTATAAACAACATTTGCTATCTTTGAGGCTCCAGACTTCACAGAGAAAATCAGAAAATTTCACCTATACAATTTATTCACGCATCTCAAATCAAATGAACCGTACTAGAAACTTAACATTCTATACTAGGGAGGAAAACAGATGATAATAAGATCTTCAGATTCAGGATCATAATGTAGTGGAAATATGACTCGAAACAGGTCAACAATGATTTCGTGCCTGAGATTGATTGGAGCGTTATTATTGAATTAATTTATGATAAGGACAATATAATTGATGTGAAACCACATTGGAATTGCACTTAGAAATTTATAATATTTGAATTAGGCGTCGCAACTTAAACTTAATGTTTCACTTTGAAAAAACTTTACAAATTTAAAATTGTTTAAATTGATATGGCAAGTAACCTGATTTGGCGGTTCCTTTGGAACCGACTATTGAGGCGGTTCCTTCTGAACCGCCTCAGAGGGGCCGGCAATTGTGTACAAAAGGAGGCAAAACCGCCTCATTTCTTTCCCAAATTAGACTGCCGCCTAGGGGTGGGGTCCATAGGATTTGAATTTATTTGAAAATTATTTTTAGGAAAGATTTGAGGAGCTGGAAAAGTCTTTAAATAGGAGAGGTAAGGGGAAGGGAGAGGCATGCTTGTATTGTTTGTTCTCTTGGGCTTTCTTGGCATTTAGGCTCTAGACTCTCTTGTCTAGAGATTTAGGGGAGAGACGATCCTCCTCTCAAATTGAGGATCACTTGTATCTTGCTTTCGTATTGTTTTTGCTTTGTTTCCCTTAGTGCAATCTATCGTTTTGGGGCTGATTTCGCCCAGATTTTGCTTATTTCTCGTTGTTTTACTCCAATTAGTGATAGGTTTGCTTGCAAACTCAAGTATTCCCTTAGGATTGCTTGCGAACTCAAGTAATTCCTATCATAACCACATAATAGAAGACAAGATCTCAAAATAACATCAAGATTATAATGAAAACAAGTAGTGCAACAAACAAACAATCCACCACGTAACAAAGAGATAAGTCACCTCGAGTTTTCCGCACTCGCACTCTTTAACGTTAGCGGAATAAGAATCGCCACAATCCGGAATATGCGACCATAAAGGAGAGGAAGTCGGGTAGAGATCCAACGAAAGTTAGCCGGAGGAGGGTGTTGGCTCAAGAAAAATGGCACGAATGCACGAATCCCGCTTTGCAGCCGTGGGATTCCATTTCCCTTAAGTCAAATTGAAATTAAGCAGATTTCCCCGGAGGGTAGTGTCAAGGTTTAAAGATCTGGGGTTCTTACTTCCTATGAGCGCAAGCACTCATAGTTAATTACCCTTCTTAACAAGTAAGAGAGAACTCTCGATTAAGGATGAATAAATTTTTAAGTGTTTAGTCTCAATTGTGGTAAATCAAGATCCCAGGGTTCCATCCCAGGTATATCGTAGTTCCAATCTACCAACACTAACAACCATTGATCGTAGTGTCCAGGGAATCAGATTAGCAGCCATGGGTTGCCTCCTCTCAAGGATCCCGAGTAAACTGAAATGGTTAGATTTGAATTTTAATTTGATTAGGTATGGGTTTTGGTTTTATTTATTTATTTATTTATTTTTTAATTTAGGATTTGGGGTTTACATCTATTAGAATACCCGAATATTTTATTCAGTTTAGAGTTTACATCTATTAGAATACCCAAGAAGTTGGTTTGGACCTGGTCTTATGGCTTCTTCAGGAAGTAGCCCAGGGATTTACATTTAGGTTTTTGACATATAGCTTTCATATAAAGTAGCCCGAGATTTGATTTGGAATTGGAGCTTATTACTCTATTTATGAGTTGTCCAAGGATGTATTTAGTTCGGGGCTTACGGCTCTAATTAGGAGTTGCCCGAAGATGGGTCTTACAACCTAACTCTACAGCGAGGCTGCCCGGAGATTTCAATTATTTGGGTAGGACTTATGACTTCCCTTAAGAAGTAACTTGAAAAGCAGGTCTTACAACTTAATCCTTTAGACTAAGATGCCCATAGGTTAAAATTTGATTATTTGGGGGTTTAGGATCAATGATATTTATTTTAACAAATTTCTTAAAACACGAGACTTATAACTTTCGTAGAAAGTAGCCCGTTGGTGGGATTTACGGCCTTCATTGAAGGTAGCCCAAATATTTTTAATTGGGTAGGTCTTATTGCTTCCTTAGAAGTTTCCTAATGATGGGTCTTACGACCTAGCACTTTAAGCTAAGTGGCCCGAGTTGTGGGTCTTACAACCTAGTGTTTTTAGATTAGGATGCCTGAATGAGGGTCTAGAGCTGTATTATCGCCTAAACATTTCCCTCAGAGGTCAGACTTAAGACTTTTATTAGAAGTGGTAGGGGGTTTTAATTGGGGGTTAGGATTTAGGTCAATTTCTACCTAAAACTTCCCCTTAAGGTCGGGCTTACGACTTTCCTACGAAAGTTGCCGAGTTGTGGGTCTTACAACCAAGTTCCTACGAACGAGGCTGCCCAAAAATTTGAATTTTGTTGTATGGAGATTTGTTCTAAACTTGTTTGAGTTGGTTGAGTTTATAATTTTAATACTTCAGAGTTTTGACACTAGTGTTAGTGTTTTAGTTGTTTTGATTTGTGCTCGTAGTCTTTTTCCCACTACGGTAGTCCACTTCTCTACCTATTTCTTATTAATTTTTTTAGCAGTTTTGCTCTACTAGCTTTTTTCGTACTTAGCTTTTCTTGCTTTCTAGTTCTACTTGCAGTAGCTTAGATTTATCAGCATTCATTTAATTTATTTATGACGTACTGACCCTTCATTTATTTGTTTGCAGGTGTTCGTAGCCAGTAGTTGCATTTTTTTAGGCTTTCAATTACAAAAGATAGAGCCTACAAGTAGCCGTAGAAACTTGTATAGGAGAGCTTTGGAGAGCAGTCTGTAGAGTTCAGTTGAGAGTTTTTTGGAGAGTTTGAGGGTTTTGGAGAGCAATTTGTACAAGAGATTTGGGAAGTTAGCAATCAAAGTTGTACATGTCATTTAGTGGAAACTTCTCTTCCTCCCTCTTTTTATTGCATTTGTTTTATAATTGCTCTAATTAACCATTAAATTTTAGTATTCTCGAATTTTAATTGATAGCTCTTGAATACAAACCATTTTAAATTTTTTTCTGTAAAAATTTGATCTCACAGCTTAAAAATTCCTGGGTCCAGAATTTTCATTTAAAATGTTCACATATTTCTAAAATTTTTTTATTTTCAAATGCTCTCGGATTTAAATTGCTCGTATTTTAAAAAACTCATGAATTTTATCTAATTAATTAATCAATCAATTTTTTTTATTGAATAATTTTAATCAAAATTTTCTATTTATTAATTAAAAATTCAAATTTAATTGCTCTAAAATTGTTCCAAAATGTTCCATAATTTTTCTTGGAATTTCGGCAGTCTCCCGGTGTCACCTCCCCACCGAGGGAGAAATCGGGACGGCTCTGCCATAATTCTTCCTACCCGGACCTAAGGTCGACGGCGTAGGGTCTTTAATTTCAAACCATCTCACCAGGATCTAAGATCGACTGCATGAAGTCTTCAATTTTTTAAAACCATCTGCCCAGATTAAAAATCAACGGCACAGGTCTTCGAATTTTGAAACCATTCCAGTCGGACCTAAGGTACGATGGTCGGGGTCTTCGACATCTGTTTGAAATATTTCATTTTCTTCTTTTTTTTACATATAATATTATATTACTATATATATAATAATAATAATAGACTTTTATTATCATTATATAATAGTATATAATATTATATAAAATGTATATATATATATATATATATATATATTATAATATATATATATATATTTATATATATATTATATGTAAAAAAAAGAAGAAAATATATATTATTGCTGGAGGGTTAGGGCACGCAGTGAAGTCGAACAACAAGGATGGAGCGGAAGGGACGATGCGTGCAATCTCTTTGTCTCCTGTGAAACAAGGAGAGCGAACGGCAACGACGAAGAGAGAAAAAGAAGGCCTGACCCTAGACGTCTCCGTGAAGAAACGAAGTTGAACCGCAATGATAGAGTTGGAGCCGGAGCGAATGAACGAGTGTAAGTGTCATTTTTTTCGTATCTCTTTATTTTTATCGCTTTGAATTGTCCGATGGAAGTTACTGTGCCAAGCAAAGCGTCGTTTGGATGTCGTGTAGTTTGTTTGTTTTATTTTCATGTCGTGTAGTTTGTTTGTTTTATTTCATGTCCTTTAATTCCCGTTGTACCCTTCTAGTGAAGGAGTGTCGTATGTAAGCCTCGAGGGCCTTTTAGTCTTTTATTTCTTGAGTATC